ACAAAGGGATGTAGTAGGAGCTACGTGGTTGCTTTTTGCCCTGTGATTTCCATCCCCCACCACCCTTGTGTTCCTCCAAAATAGGGACTTCCAAGGGGCACCTCAGCTGTCAGAGCCTTTTCCTTCCCTCTCTGAGGACGTTTCCCTCTTTCTTTAGTGCTCCATACCCTGTCACCAGGTCTTTCCAAGCCCCTGGTGGTCATGAAGGCTCATTTCACCAACTCACCACTTTTCCTCCCTCACTTGGTGTCTCTTCTCATGCAGGTGATGGAACATGCTTCATCATTCAGCAAGACCTGGATTATGTCCTGGATCTCACAGAAGCTGATTGTGACCCTGTGTACAAGGTGAGGACCCCACCACGAGGGGTGGAAGGGACAAGTGATGCCAGGGAAAAGCAGCTTCCTTAGCTCAGGATTTGCAGCCCACACAAGGGCTGTTTGTTTAGGCTTGTTTGGCTTTTTTTTTTTGATGAATTCCATCTGAATCGTTTTAACATTTGGCACCAACAAAATCCTGTGTGGTGCAGCAGCAGAATGGAAGCAATGGGATTAGCTGAGTTGATGGGGCAGCTCTGGGAAAACTGTGTTTCTGTAAAGAAATGTGAACTGATTGTGCTTGGAAGACCAGGGGGTCAAAGCCACAATCTTGACCTGTTGTTGCCTGTCCTCTCGTGTCCCCTGGTGACTGGAGAACAGAAAGGGGCCCTTGCTGGCCTGTTTCCAGACTCCCCCCCTGTGCCTGCACCAGGTTTCTGGTGGCTCTGGTGGAAATGAGTTGGTTTTTAAGCCCTTCAGGCCCGTTTACCTCTCTCCTACACAACACACACCCCCTGGCACCAAGGCTGAGACCTGGCATGAGCAAAACAAGAGGACAATGTGGGAAAAAAAGGACATTTTCCATTTCACACCTAACAGAAGAAACCACCTGTGAGCATTCACCTACCCCTGAGCTGCTGGGGGAACCTGGAACTGCCTTTAAAACCTTCATGTCCTTTAAAACCTTTTTCAGGGGACACCCTCCTCCTCTTCCCCCTGTAAAGCTCCAAGAGGAAACTGATCCCTCCAAATAAGTGCCAGATTTTTTACTCTTTACTGTCACTTGAGAGACCCTTGTGCTTAAAATACCTTTTATTGCCTCTTTTTCTGCAGGTGGCTTCTTGGGAGAAGGAGATTTACACCTGTTGCAGAGATGGGGTCGTCAGGAGATACCAACTCTCTGACCTTTAAGGAGTGGAAACAAAAGTGTTGAAACACCTTTTCCAAGCTTATTTTCCTGCACAGCACATTTGAGGTGGCGTGGAGAGGAGTTTTCTGAGGCTGTTGAGGAGTTTTCTGAGGTAGCCAGGCTCTATACAGAGGGTTTTGGTGACAGGGAACATTTCTTACAACCCACACGCCTTTGTTTTGGAATTTGGAGGCGTGAGGGGAGGATCTTGTGTGTTGTGGTGTTTTTTTTTTTTTTTATCCCACTGCTCTTTTTAGGGGGGAATAAAAGTGTTGG